GCGTGTCACTGCTGGCTCTGCAGTCCCAGCTCTGCACACCCGGTGACTGCGCGCAGAGCTGGGCTGTCTCTGGTGTATTCCAGCGTTTCCTCGCCTCTTACGAAAGGGTGCAGTCTAGCGATTGCTAAGCACGATGCCAAGCTCCTTGCATCATCCGCTCTCCTCCCCCTCTCTCCACCACAGCTGTGATAGTAACAATTATGCTGGGAGGAGTGTGTCTATCTGTGGCATTTCTACCCATTTGATCCCTCTCAGACAATCACACGGAGGTGGGGTTTCTGTCTTGCTTACGTGTCTGTATTTTTAAATAAGCCTCTCCCTGTGTTGCTGCTCTGCAGTCAACATACCACCAGACGGACTCTGCACTGTACCATGTACAGCACAGTCTCTGCATCAGATGATAACAACTTGTGGCTTGCAAACTGCATGCAGCTTTTCCAGACGCTGCCTGCAAAGATCAAATACCCAGACACCCTGGTCGCCTCCAGAGCACCCCGCTATTCATCTCTCCCCCCTCCCCGACTGACCGTCCCTTTGGCCATACGCAAGAAGGAGGGAGATGTTCTCTCAGTGCAAGGGAACTTGGAGAGAGAAAAGGCTTTATTAGGTCAAGTTTTTGATTATCAGTGGCAGGACACAGACTCCCAATAGAGGGCATGATAATTACCGAACTGACGCTGCTTGTCTCCGTCACCAAATACACTGAGCCCCATGGTATGCATCAGTTCTGCCCTTTACTAGTACATGTTTATGCAGCTACTCCAGCAAACCTAAGGATATCCATAATGTCTGGCCAGTACACAATGAACAAGCAGAGCAATTTTAGTCCCTGAAATTGATTTATTTTTAAAAACAACTTAAAATAACAAGTTTTTGCTTCTGGCTAGGTCCAGAAATGCTTCGCTATCTTTGTGAAATATAAAGAAATGAGGACTTTGTGCCTTTTTCTTATATTTTCATGTAACTGCTTTTAGAATACCTCTATCATTTTGGACCAGAAGAAAGGTGTTTTCATGTCAGCTTCCTAAGGGCAGTTAATTAATGTAGTAGTATGCATGGATGAAGGCAGTGCCCAGTCACCGAAAAAAGAAAAGATAGAGAAAGGAATGGTCAGCTTTACATATTTCAAAACAAAAAGTCCCAGATAGGTCCTCCCCCAGAGAATTTTTTTCCATTTTAATTAATTCTTCAATCTCTCTTGATGTTTTTTACCAGCATCATCAGGCAGTATTTACATTTGTTTATTTTGATATTAGAATGTTGATGAGCAACATGTGAAAGAACCAAACCAGAATGAGTTCAAAGATATTATCACTTTGTCATTAGTGTAATTTGGGGCTTTTTTATCAACAATCTCACATTCTCAGATGCCAGTTCAAAATCTGCTGAAGGAACATACAATTGGAATGGACCGTCTGTAATCGAGTCCAGTGAGCTGCCATCACAGTGGATCATATAATCCTGTTCGTAAATGTCTATCACCACAGAATTTTGTGGGTTTTTTTTTACCACAAGAAGATGAGAGTCTTCTCCAGGTTAGAAAAACCTCTCCTGAACCTCTCTTCTCTGGTGATTAGAAATCCTGACTGCAGGCAGGCAACTATCTCCTGGATAGGCAATAGGGAGTATTTTGCAAGACTTTTTAAGGGTAAAACTATTTGCTTTGATTGCAGGTGGCTTTCACGGGCAGCACTACTAAATTCATGCTAATTTCAGTGTATGTTTGACATATTAAGCCCTATATATTTCTAAGGGTGTAGCCAGCCATTTCAAATTTCCTTGCAGCAGTCCCTCCGTTGCCCCCCTTGACAGCCACATATCCATTAGCTGCCAGGATAGACGTTCCGTTGCACATAATCTGATCTCTAATGCAGCGAATGTGGCTATACGTGCCTGGCAGTGTGCTCATAAAGGGCCTGATGAAATACAGAAAGCCCCTGCCAGTCACCATAAACAATGTTGCCCCAAGGAAATGAAAAATTGCCTGCCTGTTTTACACCCATGTGCTTTACAGATTAGAACATGGCTTTAGGTATTTAGGTGCTTTAAGCCTGGCTGTAAGATTTTTTTTACTCCCATAATAATGAAGTGGAACTAAATGATCTATTTTCCAATATGCCACAAGGCTGATTAAATAGGAGGCTGGAAAAGGGGTTTTAGAGTCAACATTTAGCTTTGGGTATTCTTTTGTTTGTTTGTTATTTTATAACAGTGGGTTGGAGAAGATTACAAAGCCCGAAATGAATTAAATAGTTTCCTGATCTAAAAAAAAAAAAAAAAAAGGCAGAAGAGGACTTAATTTAAACCTTGCCCTGAGGAATTTGCCCAAAAGAAAAAAAAAACCATGGGGGGAAAAAGAATTTAAAAAAAAAAAAAAAAAAGGCAGAAGAGGACTTAATTTAAACCTTGCCCTGAGGAACTGGCAGCTCAAAGCCTACACCGTGGAGAACTGTAAAGAGTAATTCCTCACCAAAAGAAAATGAAACTCATCTAGTTGGTTTTGCTTCACAATATTCTTCTAGCCTAACTATTTGTTGTGCTATTTCTAACATACTCGGACTAGGAATTAGAAACTTATTTGTAACAGTAGTGCCTACATAGCTCTTCTCAGCTTCAGAATACTTTCTTAGCATCAAATGATTTCGGCCACACTCTTGAAATGGCAGTGATCCTCATAATTTTAATAGTACTTATCTGGGAAATATTATTAAATGTTTCTTCCCAGCACACCTGGGAATAAGCAGCCTCCCTACCCATGTATGTGTAACATATGGAGGTACATACGCACTTCATGTACACAGATGCACAGACACAGTCTTGTCGTGAGGACCTTGCAATCCAAAGCCCTGATCTTGTGACCGTTCCTCATCAGCGCTCCCATGTCCTCCAACATTCCCGTTGGCTTCACGCAGATCTGCACTCACTTGCATGGTTGGTGTCAATTGTAAGGTCATGCTTCAGGAAGCTAAGTAGAGAGTGCAGTACAGAGAGAAAAAAAGAAAAAGATGAAGGTGTGTAGGAGTACAGCTGCTAACAGGGTCAGCAGGGAATGAGGGAGATAGATAGGGAAAGATTGCAGCTCAGATTTGCTGAAGGATAAGAAGTAAACTTCTGTGGAGCAAGGAAGGACAGGAGGAAATCCCTTCAGGTGATTCTGAGTTATGAGGAAGAGATTGACTTTGGCAAAAATATGACAAGTTTGGGTGGAAAAAAACTATTATAGTTGTGGTATTTGGGGTGGGCCATGGTAACAGACTCCGTTGCCGGAAGAGCTAATAGAATGCAGGCTGTAAGAACCAGGGAGTCCCCCTCCTGCAGGTGAGGAGTTGGGAAGCAGCAGCAATCACTATTGAAGCATTTAAAATTGGAACTGTAGTATGAAGTTACTTCAGGTCCTGTAATTTGTGTTTGAACAATTATATGATTTAGGAATTTAAACTCTTCAGCTATGTGACACACCACTAGAAGTCCCAATCCATTTGGGGGGTCCTGGATTTACTTATAGCATTAACATTAGTTAATAAATGTAATAACACTGATATAATTGTTTGTTATCTGTAAGACTTACATGGGAAGGAAGCTTAAATGTCCGTATTGATAGTTGGGTAGAACAAGGCAGGAAGGGCCCAGTAAGGCGTTAGAGCAAGTCAGAGTGGAACACCAGCCTGCTGCTTCCCAGCTCCCACAGTGTGACCTCCAGACAAGCTCTTTCCATTCGTCCTAGCACTCAGTTTTTCTGAAGAAATCTGGCAAAGGATCAGGCAAAGCATAATGGAAAAGCTGTTGCATGCTGCAAGCGACAAACCCCAAAGCATTTTGCATTTATTTTTGTTGCATTTGGATGCATTTGCACTGGGTAATCTAATATGTCTTTTATGTCTTATCTTGTATTGTTTCTAGCAAGATTGTTTAGTGAGCATGCCACCTTTAGGCATTATTGATGAAAAACATTTGAAAATGGAACCTTAACAGGCTGCTTCTTAAGAAATATGAAAGCACAGATAATGCTTACAGCAAATCTAGGGCTACATTGCCAGCTAGCACAAATAGCTGTGATTTACTACCTGCTGAGTTACACTTACTGAGGATGTAGTCCACTAAAGGCATGCTGTGCTTAAATTTTCTTAGTTTAAGACTGTACATATGAACATATGGTAGACATACAATGAAGCAGTTTGGAAATATTGGTGGAAAATAATGCACCTTTACTTATCCCTATTTTCTTATTTACAGATCTGTGCAACCATAAATAACATCTAAATGTGTTTGTTTACATCCATATTGCATCTTATATCTGTTAATTAACAGGTACAAAATATCCCTGTCTCTGCCTAGTGTGTTAGGAATTGTAGAGGGTTTTTTTGACTCACTACTTAATATAGATTTTTTATCTATTGAGAGCAGGACTGAAAGTGGACTTAGAAAAAAATGCCCTGTGGTTGGTGTTTTTACTGTTGTCCTTTAGTGAATACCATCCAAAATGGTTTCAGCACTTACTGTACTTTACCATCTCTGCTAAGTAGAATACAAAATTATATATAAATATATAATTATACATTAATTTAAATATATATACACTTAAATCTAGTTTTACAGCACTTTGGGGAAGATGAGGATAACTCTGACCCAGTTTTTCACTGAAGTCATTAGTAGTTCTATATGCCTCAAATTGAAATACATTAAAAGGTGCTGTCTTGTTAAAGTTTTATCTCTGGTGATCAAGTTTCTTTGAGAAGTCTGTAGTTAACCACTCAAAAACAGATTCACTAACAGTCACTAAGTGATTTCTGAATATTTAGGTCAGTTGTTCCTCTCATTTCTAGTTTTCAGCTTTTGAGACAGAACCTGGTGCACATAGTTACTGATTTGAACTCACTTTTGTTTCCACTAAAGTTAGCATGAATTTTGCTGTGAACTTCAGTGGCCAGGACTTTTTGTAAAGGCTTTCACTAAAATGATCTTAAAATCTGTTTCCTCTGATCTGGGGGAAATGTTTGCAGAACGGAGAGTTTCCCATGGTGTCAGCGTTCTGATCTGAAACTCGCCCCTGCTTTTCTAACACACCTGCTGATCTCCAGCTTGCACATCTTTCATCATGCCCAAGGCTGCCCTGTGCAACTTGAGGGTCAGCAAGGAGAGACTGAGTGGAGCATGCCCAAATTCCTATAATGGGGCAAACGGATGCCTGACTAAGGGATTTTGATTCTAGGAACTGTTTGTGTACCGTAATTTCTTTTTTTCTTGACCGGTTCATGCGTACCTTTTGCTGTGGGCTTTTTATTTTTCACTTTCTTTGGGAGTTAGAGGGGAACAAGTACAGATACTGGATTGTCAGATTAGAAGTTACTGTAACTTTTCTTTTCAAGGTGAGAGAAACATCTCTATTGGTTTTGTAAGCTATTATTAAAAAGTCTTCAGCATGCCTGGAGAATCACCACTACAGGTCCCTGCAGGCCAGCTGCCATTTTGTGTAGCACTGACACCCTTCGGAGCTCCGGCTGGAGGAGGTCGGTAGCCTTAACGCTGCAAAGCCGCCCCCTTGGACTTTGGTATGTTCACGTCTCCTCTTCCCAAGTTACTGTGCAACCTGCAGAAGGACACTGTTAAAAGGCAACGTTAATGGCATTTGCTCAGGTTCTCTTTCAAGCTTAAATGTAGCAAAATTTCAGCATTGCTTCCACTGCAGCTTCGTGTTTCAGAGCTGATGTGTACCTTGCAGCTGTTCAAGTGCAATTGTTTTGGTTAGTTACGAGTTCTTCTGACTGAAATAGCTATGTCAGTATAAGCCCAAGATGTTTTAGGTTTTCTGGCATAACTTCTTTCCCTTCCTTTTCTGCTATGTCTACTATATCTGGACTTGGGGATTTGCTGAGCTTTAACGATCCCATTATAATCAGAGCAATGCAATTTGCCTGTAGACAAGCTCTTAATGTCATTTACAGTGATTATACCTGTGTTAAAATTACAGTATTGGTTCAGAGCAATCTAATTATTTAAAAATATTATTTCAAAATAATTGTAAAACAAATCGGTCGTCCTTTTTAATAAAATTGCTTCAAATATCTTTTCTTCAAATACTTTTCTTCTCTTCTTTGATTTGTTGATATTGTGAGGCCTCCTCTTGTTCTGTCTCAGAGACTGTCAAGCGCAGCCAAACTCAGCTCACTTTGGTGTTACGACTGTATTGTGCACATCTGGCAAAGCAGAGATGTAATCGATCTGCTCTGAGCTGCTGCGAGAGATCTGTTTGATGCTCGGTCTTTCCTGGAGCATGAGGAGCATTGAACTGCAGTCAGCGGCCATTCGCAGCAGAGCAAATGGAAGGCCAGCAAGCCGGCTGTCACAGGGGCCGTGCAGAAACCCGGTATATCACCGCAATGAAGTCTGAAAGGTGACCTTGAAGTGGCAGGTTTCCTGCCCTGGCTTGGAGTCCCTTTTATGAGTACTGCTCTTAAAGAGTGTTGTTCTTTGAGATAAAGAACTTATAATGAAATGGTTTCATATACTGTCAATTGGTAATTAAATGGTTTTGTATTTTAGGTTGAAGAAGTGTTGAAAAATCATGCTGTTAATTTTACAGTAGGAAATAAACACTCAGAAGTACATACCATCAGGAAAATGGACCCAATCCTCATTTCATTTATTCTAGTTGTGTATCATAGACTTAAAAGCAGTTACCACCAATTTTTTGTTTTGTTTTGTTTTGTTTTGTTATGAGGGCTGGTGAGAATCAGGTCTGGTGTTTTTAATTTCAAAGTTGTTTTCTAGTGTTTATCTTAATTTCCAAAACAAACCTTTTTTTTGATAAGAGAACTTTGTCTAGATTGTTTTTATGTGATTTTGTCACTGGCTGTTTCATTGCCATTGGTGGAACATTCAAGAGAGAGGTTTTTTTTGTCCTGAGCATCATTATTGAGTGTTTCTGTATTTCCTTACAGCAGATTTCCACCCTAGGCAAAATGAATTACAGTCAACTTTTGCTCCAAGATAACTACCCTGTCCCTGTACATGAAGGAGTTAGCAGCTGGCATTTCAGGTTTCTGTTTTGTACTGCCTGCGACTGGCTCTCCTTGCAATATAGTTGGGGCTTTGCCAAAATGGAGTTTTATAAAAGTATGATTCACATCATCTAACTGGTAGAGTTAGACTTAATATTGTTGTTGTTGTTATTATTTTCTGGATTTTCCATTTTCATTTTACGCTCCTTGGCTCAGATTCTCCATTACTTTGCACCTTGTTCAATGATTTTATGCTTATTCTGGCCAGTTGTGCTAACACCCTTCAACCACTTTGCCAGAGAAACTTTTCTCACCCTTTGGAGAAACAGATCTTCCGGCCTTTAACCCTACAAAGAAGAACATTAGTTTAGTTTATCTTAGTTTTCTGTACTTTGATACTTGATACTTGAAGATCTTAGGAGATAAAGAATAAAAGTTTCCCTTTCTCCTCTCCTAATTCAACAGTGTATCTTGACAGCTCCTGATCTGGGACATTTTGTGTAGCTGTGACTCTGGACGCGTTTTGATCAGAGAGAATCAAATTTGGAATTTAAGATCTCAAGGTCTCTGTTACCTTCACTGAAAGCCAGCCAGCTCTGAAACATCTTTATACGGGCTGTCCATGGGAGGGAGACAGTGAGCTATACCAGGGGTGTGGAAAAGGTGCTTTTCATCCCTGGGAAAAATCGCAATGTAGCTGGGGCTAACTCAGGAACACTTTGCAGGATGCCGGAGTCTGCATGCTGGTTCTGCGTAGAAATTAGCACATGGCACAGGACATGAATTTACTGTCAGGAGAGGAGTGAAATTGAGAACACATGAGTTGCTATCAGATTCATAAATGAATCACCAAAAAAAGAAAAAAAATCTTAAATCAGGCACTTCTTATACCATATACTTGATAGAAATTAGAGACTTGAGCAAATGCTTTCAGCATCTGAAAGTATTATCGCTCTGTAGTGTGCTCAGATTCATCCTGTCTTTAAAAATTTTCTAATGCCAAACAAATGCTGTTTGGGTTTATGTATTCGGACTAATAGTGACATCCAGTGGCTGATCAACCCAACCACAGGAATAGTAACAATCATTTCAAATGGAGCGTCCAGAAGTGATGAGCTTATGTTGATTTAGGTCAGATGGAGTTTGTAGTAAATATATGTAATATGCCACCTTCAAGACTTTTGTGATGGCCAAAACCTTGCCACCCACCTTCACACTTGTTCTTCTGGGAAGACGGCAGTGAAATTGCACAGTGTCTAGAGGAGGAATTGCTGTGTGTTCTCCTGTGGTGGTGAGCAGCTTTAGACACAAATTGACACCTGGTTTAAAAATCTCATTTTATCTCTCTAAATGAGTCTTCCTAAGTATGTAAGCACTTCGGACGTATGCAAAGCTGATGGCTATTCTGCGAGCTGCCTAGGTACTGGGGAATATGCAGGGCTGCAACAGTAGTACTGGTTTAAAATGTAGAAGATTGTTTCGTGTGCTCATGAGTCCTCCAAAACCTTTAAAAGGAAACTACATTAAGAAAATGTGACTACTAGAACTGGTAGTGCAGTGTCAGAAACAGGGTTAGGGTTTCTCTGTGCCCCTAGAGCATCTGATCAGAGTGTGTGCTTAGAGGAAGATTTTATTTATTACTGAGATGTTATTTGTTACTGGCCTTGGGCCCAAAGACAGCAGCTGGAGGTACCATTGTGAAGACTGACCGCTGCAGCCCTGGGTGCGCCACAGGTGAAGAATCCATTGCTGGTTTGTCATGGCTGCAGCACCCTTCCTGATGGTAAAATGCAATGGTGGGGTCAAAGTTTGGCATTTCCTAAAACAGCCATCCTTTTATCTTACTGCTTAGTTTCTTGAGAGTGGATTTGTATTTTGTTTCCCAGAGGAGTCTGCAGGTTAAAGGAAATTTTAATGACATACAATTCACAGAGCTTTAGGACGTTAATTATGATAGCAATACTATGTTGTAGGAACGAAACAAGATATTTCAGAGAAACCTCACACAAAAACGGTAACATCTCCCAGAAGTAGTCTTCTGATATTAAGCATACAAATAGCTTGATAGAATAAATGGTTGCTTCCATCATGAACAGAACTAATTTTAGACAGGAGTGCCTAATGTGCCTGTCAGTACTTCAAAATGAATGATTAAAGGTAAAAATAAATTTATTATGTTTTCAATTGCATCGGGCCTCAGATCTGCAGGAAATATGGTATCTACTTGCTGAAAACACCCGTGTAATACTGTCCTAACGTATTCTGAAAATGATTTCACGGTGTCTGTTGAGCACAACTAATTGCATTGTCACAATTGTAAATGTTTCCAGTCCTGGTTGCAATTACAAGAAGCACCTGGTAAATTTGTTTTGACTTCACTGTCTTCTGGTTAACTTAAAAGTGCCAGGTGATGTAAGTCCCATTTTGCGGTATACTTCATTTTCTTCTAAGAGACTGCCAGTAAACTGCACACATGATGAGGAATCTGTTTTGTAAGATTGACCTGAACGTAGATGTTATCTTTTCTTTTTTGTACTGTACATAGCAGAGCTGCAGCTGCAGCGGCATTGCCACTCCTCTCCCTTCCAATCTCTCTTGGACTCTGGAAGCCCGGTTCCCCTCACTGGTATACTGCAGTAATTCCACCAGCAATTTCACTGGTGTCGCATGGTGGAAACCCATCTAAGTGAGACTGCACTGAAGGCACTTGAAGTGTGAACCAGTGTTTGATCATCTTACTTATCTGCAACAGGCATTGGAAACACAACTTGCTTTTGCTCACCATGAGCATCTCAACAGCACAGGCTTTCACTCATCTGCTTAGATTAGACTTTCTTATGGAAAGATGCATGAGATACACATTCCAGAAGCACATATTAATGAATGTAAAAAAAAGGTATTTTCTTTTAAAAAGCTTAACTTCATGTGACGCCACTAAAAGGAAATCGTTTTTTTCCCCCTCAAACTTCAGTTTAGTTTAGTTAATTTACTGTATAATTGAATTTGTGATGACAGTATCCATTTAGCAAAAATTTTTCTTCTAAAATAACTCTATTTCACTTGCCTCTGTCTTGTGGCTTAATTTCTAACAAATATTACCAGAAATACCTAACAGTACCAGTAATATAAAAATATTGCCACAATACAAGCCTTAAACACTTGTTAAACACAAGCCTTAACGCTTGTTAGTAATATATTCTTTATAGGGCTGAAGCATGCCTGTGGCAGCTCCACCATGAGCACCCTCAAGGTTTAGCAAAAAATCTTTTGCAAAATACCTGACGAGAAGATACCTCCATCACACCTGCTCAAAGGGCCAAATTATTTCACTCTTTTTATAGGCACATAATTTATCCAAAGAGCGCTGAAGAGTTAACAGATCTTGTAGTTAAGTGCTTAATTAGCAACTAAAGAGTAAAGTCAGAAAAATTCAGTTCATTATTTGTCATGGCTACAGAGTACATTTCACTTTACTATGTAGAGTAATACATTTATATTAAGACTTTACACTTTCAAGGTTCACAGGTCAAGATTAATCAGTTGTGACCTTGGAACACAGCTCTTCTCTTCATGAAGTAAAAGCTGAGTAAGGGAGTCTGAAACAAGGGTCCATACGTTTATATATAGCTTGATCTGATTGAATGGTTAAAATGTAATTGAACAGCAAAAATAACATTCCTTTTCAGAGGAAGAATTAAAGACCTTTGGAAAAAGAGAGGTGAAATACAAGTAATTTTTCAGTGCAAGTGACATTATGAATTAATCTCTAACATGGCTGAGGTTGATGGTTATAGTGTTCCTTTCCTACTATAATTCTTTCTTCAGAGCAGTTCTTCCTGCTTAAAATGTTCAGCAGACACAAATATCAACATTTTAAAATGCCGGGTGCTGTGGTAACAAAGGTATTTGCTGCCAAACAGCATACATGTTTGTTTCTACATGACATCTTTATTTACAGAAACTTTAATTTTTTATCTACCTTTTAAGTTTTGTAGTAGCGAAACAGAATATAGCT